AAAACTCGTTCTATTTTGTTGTAGATCATTAAACCGTTATGCTGCCTCAGAAGCCTGTCCGAAATCAGTTTCAGGGGGTGCCTCCATGCAAAAACGCTGCCTGCAAAGTCATTGCCTGATAAGGCAGCAAGTCAGCTGCCTAGGCTTTCGGACGCAGCCATAAACGGCAATTGAGTGTCGCACAACTCTGACTGAATTTCAATGACGTCAAGGCTGTAATGTGACTGGTTATTAAGCACTTTATGTTCGTTCAGTCTTTAAAACCACTGCGTTTATGTTCTGTGGAAAAAATGTAAACATATTAACGTGACAAGTTTGTTTCAGAAAAGGAGTCAAAAGGAGACAAAGACTTCATGAATGTCAGCTCTGGGTTTGATCCCAAGCATATAATTCACATGAAAGTGTGATGTTTACAGCGAACAGACATGAAAATTAGAGAGAGTCAATGAGTAACAGCTGCACAACTGCAGTAGGCCTATCTCCTTTAAATCAGGTTAAATTCTCAAATTGAAAGTTGTCAGAAAACAAATCAAATTTCATAAATTATTTCAGGAATGTAAAACTGTGTAAAATGACTAAATAACAGTGCTGTGAGCATGAGTTCAGCTCTGACTTCCTCTCTTCTCTGTGGGCTTGAGGTTTCATAGTGTTTCCGCTCACAGTACGAGATGTTTGAATGATCACAGTATAGAAGATATTCATCTGGATCAGACGATGAAGATCATCCAGCTCCAGATCTGTGAGTTTATCACATCACATTTGATTTATAAAAAGGTTTTGATTTAATGTCTTAATAAATGTTTTGTTTCTCTCATAGATCTGTTCATGTGGTCTCAAGCCACAGAGAGTCTAACAAACACAGCAGTAACTTTAGGAGCTGATGTGATTATAAGCTGTGATCTTGATATAGAGGAGATTTACTGGTTCAAACTGAAGTTACCGGATCCTCCAGTGTTGATCTTACGCACTTTCAGTAGCACAAATGAAGGAGTACAATATGAAAACATCATCTTCAAACACAAATACTCAGTGAAAACTAACAGTCGTCTGTTCATCAGAAATATCACCACTGATGAATTAGGAGTTTATTATTGTGTGAAAACTAGTGAACCACTCAAATTCAGCAACGGCACCAAAATCTACATCAGCGGTGAGTTGTTTTCTCATTCCAAATGTACTTTTTCTCATTTCAAATATGATGGATTTCCATGTTGAATATACCGTATATGTTTATAAAGTTGTTAAAGACTTAAACAGAGATTGATAGATTTAGAAACCATTTACAGACTCAGTTCACAAGAATCAGACAGAATCAAACGATGCTCCACAACACGAGACACCATGGAGGAACCTGACCATCATCACATCTGCCCTGCTGAATGTGCTTCTGATCATTGCATTAATAGGTTTGTACTGCTTTTATTGCAAGTATGTTCAGGTCTCACTGAACTAACTACAAGAAGATGAGACTCTAGATCTACACAAATGTAACCATAATACATGTGCTCTTTGTTTGTTTAGACTGTTATAATGTGTGAATTCAAGTAATGTTTGATTGGTTGTTGCTTCAGGTTTGCTGAAGAGCTACATTGATGTAACTGGACGATCTAAAAATTGCACTGCAGCTCAAAACTCAAATAACCCAAAGGTAAAATACGTCTTCAATAAATGTTATATTATTTTTTACCTGTCCTAGTGATTATTGCAGTAAATCCTCTCAACCTCAAATGACATGAACAAGATTCATCATCTGAATGATCTGAAAAATTTAAGACGTTACACAACTCTGTGAAACACTTGACTGAGACGGAAAATATTTAAAAATGTGATTCAAGCATGTCATGCTTGAACTATAAACCCCTTCATCCCCTGTGAGAATTTATTTGTAATAATGACCGGCTGACTGCTCATCATGTCTTACATACTGTATATGACCATTGATATATAATATCTTTCTCTTTCAGTGTGCTGAAATTGATTTTTCCATGTGTCCTGGTAACACCAGGCATTGCCCAGAGCAGAGCACTGCTGTCCTCTACAGCCAATGACATTTTCTGCTGTTCTACAGTTTTATGTTTTATTATCTGTCATACCACTGGAAATCAAGGGCACAAACCTCAATAAAAGTACTAAAGCCTACTTTTTTTTTGGCTTGCATACTAATTGTTTTTTTAGATTTTTATACATATTGAAACATCTAACATCTGCACAGCTCTTGTTTGTGGTTTACACACAGCATGGTTTCGTGCAAATAAAATGTTCCACTGGTTTGGACACTTGATGAACAACACAGTCACATATGCAGCAGGTGGTTTAAACTTTGACCAAGTGAACATGAACACACTATGAACAAATGTACACTTAGACCTATTTTACTACTGATTTTCACACATTTTATTCTGTTAGTCTTATTCATTTCCATAAAACTGTCAAACTGAACAAACATTTCAGTAGGAAACAGAATAACAGTAGTAACACTGACCACAAAGAACAAAAACTACATTAAACAGAGATTTAAATGTTACAGGGGAAACACTTTATTTTAAGGATCAATCTCACTATTAACTAGCATGCATATTACTAACATATTGGCTGTTTATACTTATAAAGCACATATTAATGCCTTATTCTGCAGGACCATATTTTAGATTCCTTAATCTCTACCCCATATCTAAACTTAACAACTGCCTTACTATTAATAAGCTTCAAATTAGGAGTTTACTGAAGCAAAAGTCATAGTTAATAGTTAATTAATAGGGAGAATTGAACCTTAAAATAAAGTGTGACCATTAAAGGTATGGAATTATAGATTAATACTTAAAAGAGAAAAATCAAGTACTCTTATATATGGGTTAATGTTTGATTTTACATCAAAGAAAGCACACATGTGGTCGGCGCAAACCTGCCTTTAACTTCCTCATGATTGTGGTTAAAATCACCCGGTTATTTTGAAAGCGCTGAGGTAAAGTTTCATCTTTAAAGTTGTGTGAAAGAAACAAGACTGCCCTGTTTTAACTTTAGTGTTTTAACATCCTGAAGGCCATGCAGCTTCTTCTCTGTGAGTTTATTGTACATTATGAATATTTTAATGTGCTTTGTAAATTAATAAATTGACTTATTGTTTTATGACACAATTACATTCCAAATAGTTTTGTATGTATGTGTGTGTTTTATTTCACAGATCTGCTTATATGTTGTCAAGCAGCAGAGACTTTAACAGATTTGGGTCAAAATGTGACTATAAACTGTGATTTTGATGTACCGGAGGTTAACTGGTTATTACTGAAACTACCAGATTCTCCGGTTCTGATATTACTCTCTTCTACAACTTCAGCTACTTTTTACTACAATAAAACATTTAAACACAAATATTCAGAGCAAAGTAAACATCGTCTGTTCATAAATAATGTCACTCTTGATGATTTAGGACTTTATTACTGTGTGACCACAGATGCACCTCTAAAATACAGCAGCGGCACCAGACTGTACATCACTGGTGAGTGACTATTCACTGAAATTAAACACTAAATCATTGTTAAACACAAAATATTAAATATTATTATTAAACCCTTTCAATGATTGCACAGAACCAACTCTAAATCTAGAGAACAAGAATCATACAGTGGTCAAGATAATTGATCAGAATCACTGGCAGATTATATTCATCTCTGCTTTCATAAATGCTCTTCTGATCATTGTGATCATAGGTGAGTCCTTTGATTATACATCAATGGCTCCAAACTGGAACATTATGGGCTTAAATTCTGACCATAATATCTGTGTATGCTATTTTTAACGCTTTTAAAGAATATTTTAACAGCTCTTACAGTTATAGCTCTTTATAGTGACTACAATTGTTATGTTAATAAGAACAAAAAACATGAAACATGTGAACAAATAATATGTTTTTGGCTGAATGTTAAATCTGAATTCACTTTTAAGGACTATTGAAGCTTCTTGTTGATGGAAGAAACAGAGACAACCTGAAACAATTTCAAGATACAAACCTGCAGAATCTTCAAGTTATGGATTTCGAACAACCTCAAGACTCGAGCCAAACACTGATACATTACATGAAAATATAAAGTATGTATATAAAGTATATAAACACAATATGTCTCACTCGATGTTGAAGTTTAAAGCTTATAAATATTGTTATATTTATGCATATGAGCTGATACTGCTTTTATACACCAAGTTATGTGCTGTTTAGGCACGCGCGCGTGTGTGTGTATTCATATACATATATAAACATAATACCTAATTATGCATGAGAGACTGTATTTGTCCTAATCACATAGTTCTAGAGTCAGGAACATGTGACTAAAATAGTGTGATTTTCATGCTTTCTGCTAGACTTGTTGTGCTTTTCTCATTTGTCTATTTCTATTTTGTATAAAGTTGCAGTTGTAACAAAATAATTAAGCCACAGCACAAAGGAAATGTTCCTGACCACAAGAGAGCAGTGTTGAGCTAGAAAACCAAGAACGAACCAAACAAACAAAGGCAATAAATGTTCAAAATCTGTTTGCATTTCCATTGTGTTGTGAATCTTTGTTTGCTCAATGTGGGCATGTGTTTTGTGTAAGAACTACATCTAAGGATGTGGATTTTGTCTGTTAGTTATATTTAGGTCATATATTAAAAAAAGACTTGGAGACTTTTATCATGCCTTCATCATTTACTTTTACTACTTTAAACTCTTAAGTGGTGATCTATTTTTATCTTGTAGTATACAAAAGAGTGTACAATAGTTAAATTTGATGACACCTCTCAAAAAATGCAATAGCCTCCTCTACCTGCCACCATAATAAATTATTAATGTTTTTGACCATCAGAGGACAGTAATGGCCCACTGAAGGACACTTAAAAGCATCTCACTTGAACAATTTGCTTGTGCTGTATTACTTTAAAATCAATTCCACTTGTCAGTATTGTGGCACAGTGGACTGTGGATACTTAAGAGCTGTTAGGGGGCAACTTCAAGTCATATTCCAACTCCATTTCTTCTCTCCCCCTACTTTCCCTTTCACTCCACTGTAATTGCAAAAATAAATAAAAACTTGGATTAAAAAAAAAGTGTACAGATATACATGAATAAAACACAAAGATACATAAACAGATAAAAATAAATAAATACATTAAAATAAAAAGTCAATAAAACCTGACATTGTCACGTGTATGTTCCCGTTTAGTTCCTGTTTTCCTTATTTGGTCCTTCCTGTTCCTGTCCTCCTTGTATGAATTTGGTTACAGCTGTGTTTGTTTAATTAGTTAATTTGCTCCCAGGTGTGTCCCATTGGTGTCTGTGTATTTATAGTGAGTCCCGTTCTGAGTTTTGTGGTCCGGAATTGTTTATGTCCCCTTCTTGTGCTATGTGTGATTCCCTGAAGAAGAATAATATTAAACTACTTTGTTTTGTACTCCTGGTCTCCTCGGTCCTCGCTCCGTGCTCCTCACAGTAGCAACCCGTGACAGACATATAACAATCAAAGAAATAAGCCAAATAAATTAGATAGATTGATCCTTCACTTTTGTCCTGAACTTATTTCAGGTAAATGCCACTTTCTACAAAAGTGTACAGTGACATCATGTGGTGAGATAAGATTCGCAATACAAATGTATAAATGGAAATAATTATCAAGACTTTTAGGGAAAAAACAATAGAAGTGGTTGATTTAGAAGTCTTCCTTTAGTTTAGATAAGCTTAGTGCTGCGTTAATTTTGGCATGATCATAAAAAAAACAACAAAACGCATCCGTAACATTTGTATTATAAATACATTTACTCGGTCAAATAACCAACAGTAACCCATTGCGCGCAACCCAGAAGAGCGCCATAAGAACACAATGCGATCACAATCACACTTCAGTTTCACAAGAACACACTAAATGAATAATATCGCTTATAGCAATTATTTCTGAGGCAATATATCGCACAATAAAAAGTTGTTATTGTGACAGGCCTATATAGTACCAGTCAAATGTTTGGACACACGAATGGGAAAGTGTCCAAACTTTTGACTGGTACTGTACTATAATATACACAAAGAATATCGGCCGATATATCGGTATCGGCTTTTTTTTTTTTACTCCCTAATATCGGTATCGGCCCCCAAAAACCCATATCGGTCGGGCTCTAGGAAAAACACCTTTGAAACCTTTATTTTTAAGAGTGTATGGGGTCAGTTGACAATGCTTTGAGATTAATAATTTTCATAGACTGTTTCGATACTGTAGACAAAGCATTTCTCCTCTCAATACTCACATACAGAGCAGAATGGAAACAGAAAGTATAGGCACTAATAAAATATTCTCTGGTCTTGCTTGTGCTCCTTAGTTAAATTCTGCTGGACACAAAGACAAAAAAATTAAACATATTGTTAAACAATCTCATTCTAACTTCATTAAAATCATCCCAACAAACTTATATTATTAGCTTAAAAGAATCAAATATTTTTTTCTTTTTTTTCACAAACCTAGTTTCACACTTTGAATTAGAAATTCATTTGTGATGTAGCATGTGTATATTCCTGTATCACGGTGTTGAACGTTGTTAAGTTTGAGGGAGAAGTTTCCATTCAGATACTGCTCACGGATAATTTCAGTTCTGTTGTAATATGTTGAATCCTGTTCTTCCAGAGAGACTTTGCCCTTAATAATGTCATACACTTTCAGGGTCTCGTTGTGTCTCCAGTGCACTGTAATGTCTTCAGCTGTAAGCTGAGATTTTTTAGAAGAACAAGGTAAAACCACAGAACCGCCAACAGAACGCACAAATGGGTGCTGCAGAGGCTCTGAAAACAAAGAGAAGTTGCGATAAATGAAACCGTTTTTCATGCAAGAAACATAAGAGTTTGCTTCATGACTGACAGTTGACTGAATAGCGTCTATAGACTAGAGCATGGTTTTGAATCCATGGTCCTTGGGACCCACCGCTCTGCACATTGTGTATGTCTCTCCACACCTGATTAAGATCATCAGCTCGTTAGGAGAGAGATCCATGAACTCAGTTGAGTGTGTCAGATAATGCCGAGTTCACACTGCATGATTTTCAAACTCGTCGGATCGCCGTTGTTTTCACACTGCGTGACTGAGGTAGCATTCAGTTGCTGCTGTGTTCACATTGCACGATGGATCGGCGACAGGGGGTTTCACACTGCATGACTTCACAATAGGAAGAATCG